TTATAACAGATCAGGATAAAGCAATGTGTAATGCAATTCACTCAGTGTTTCCAACGACAAGACATCATTATTGCTATTGGCACATGCAAAAGCACATTACTGGTCATTTTCCTACTTTTGGGTCTCGTTATGGTGAACAGTTTCAAAGGTATTAGGGCTTGTGGTATAATAGTTCTTCAATTGAACAATGTGAAGGATATTGGGTTGAGATGAAGGAGAAGTTTGATATAAATAATGAAGGGGATGGATGGTTGCAAACAGTTTACAATTGTCGAGAACACTGGGTGCCATGTTATCTGAAGGATACTTTTTTTGCTGGAATGAGATCGAGCCAAAGGAGTGGAAGTATTAATGCATTTTTTGATGGGTATGTTAACTTACAGACTTAATTACACAAGTTTATGACACAATATGAAAAAGCAGTAACTCATCGTCGCTTATGTGAAGCTCATAAAGATTTTAAGAGTCTTAACACAAAGCCTATCATGCTCCTTGGACATCCAATTGAGGTCTAAGCTGAAGAAATATATACACGCAATATGATTGATGTGTTCCAAACTGAATTCAAAGGATTTGGTACTGAGTTTTGTGAAGAATTAAGAAAAGATGGGGACATTGTTGAATACAAGATTTGTAAGTTTACAGATAGAGGAAAATGGGAGGTGGTTACTTATGATCATGTCAATTATATGTAGTTCATTTGCACATGTGCTTTGTTTGAAACTAATGGTGTTGTATGTAGTCATATATTGTCGCTAATGATGGCTAGACAAATGGATTCATTACCCGACGATTACATCCTACACCGGTGGACTATACATGCTCGATGTCGTAACATTGGGGTTGGCAACATTGTATTTGGAAGAAACATGACAAGCTGTGAGGAGAAGATTAATTTATTAAAATCATGGGCTTTAAGAGCAAAATTCAATAATGCGCTCGAGCTTGCATTTGATTCAGAAGAGAAGATGCAAAAATTAGATGATGTGCTAACAAATTTCATAAAGTTAATTGAAGAAGACGTTAGAGAAACTCAAGTTCAATGGAGGATATTCCTCAGTTTACCGTACCCATTTCACATACAATGGAGCACATTCCTCAGATTACAGTTCATGATCCTGATAGACCTGCAAGGACTAAAGGTCGTCCACGCGATGCTACTAGAATCCAATCAAGTTTAGAACAAGCACAAGAAAAGAAAGAAAGGAAGAAACGCATATATAGCAGATGTGGTGAACTCGGGCATTATAAAACTAGCTGTAAAGTCAACTTGCAAAGGTACAAAGTTTCAACTTCTATTTCTTGGTTATTTTTAGTTAGGCAATGAATACTTTCGATTTATGAGTGAAATATATGATTTTTTTTTTTGTTAACAAGTCTATGTATTAATTGTTACTTGTTTCTTGCTGTAAAGAAAAGGATTGATGAGTTTCACAGGATGACACGTGCATGTTATAGATCTATAGTTCTGGATCTTGCATCTCCTGTGCTGTTGATCAAGGAAAATTTATGTAATATGTATTGTCACCTTATATGATTGAAGAAGATGGAATTGGCATATTCAATTCTTGTCATCTTGGTTATTTTTATTGACTATTAAATCAAGTCTAATTGTTGCTAATGGTGATCGGCTATGGCTGATCATTTTGTTACCATTTCTTATCATTTTAGGTCACCTTGTGCTGTATCTCTCGACCTGTTGATATAGTCCAGCTTCTTTTGTCCTTTTCTGGTTTGATGTTGGAGGATACTTCGGAGATGTAATGTGCATTTGGTGGATGCTCCTTGAGATATCATTTGTACATTGATGTTGTTCTTCCGGAACACACTAAACGCCTAAGCACCATATGGTTAAAATACTATTAGGTATAAAATAAACGGAAAAGGAGAAATTAGACAGCTTGTTCCTGTATGAAAAAGATTAACCTTCTCTAGTATCAAAGAAGAATGTTGCACATTTCCTATGAGATATACTATTGATCTGTGTTGAAGAAGATTAACCACTGTAATTTTCTCTGGCTCTTCAATAACATGGTCTAATTCCTGCTCAGTCAAGTACAACATTTGAAGTTACAATGTAAGGGTCAACTGGAAATAAGGGAGTGCAAAAGGCGCTGACCAAAACGAGGCAGAATACGCCCTAGTGCATGATTCCCAACAAAAAATTGGTTGCTAACCAATTAAGAGAAGTATTATAGTATGACAAATTATATATTTATGCTGAGTTCAACATGATGCAGCTGCTTCAATATAAACTCGGTTCAGTTACAATTCTCAGCTTAAAACCTGAGCTCAGTCATTTAAGATATGGACGTGCTGATAGGAGATTAAAGGAAGCTTGAGCAAATGCCATGTAAAAATAGATTGAATATCCCAGAAAGTTCTCACAATCACATAATTTTTGCATACTATACATGCTACAAAGATACACAATAGATTGAATATCCAAGAAAGTTCTCACAATCACATAACTTTTGCATACTATACATACTACAAAGATACACAATAGAGTGAATATCCAAGAAAGTTCTCACAATCACATAAATTTTGCAATATAGAAAAAATATACACTACAACGAGACATACTACAAACACTAATATTATAAACACTGAACCTAATGCAAAAGCATAGATGGGGGAAATAGTAGTTCTTGAGCTGGATGCTGAATCAGGTGTCTGGACATAAACAGGTGTATGGCCACGCCTTGAGTTGGATGCTGAATCACGAGCGATGATGTGCTTATCCTATTCAATCAAACCCTCTTCGTACATTGCATACCATTTATATGCGGCATTTGGGAATTTATCAACTTGCTTTTTGCATTCCCCCAATTATCAAAAATGTCACATCGTCGACCTCTTTTCACAATATAAAAACTCTTTCTTGTCATGGACCACCTAAAAATTTGTGCTTTAAAAAAGAAATTATCAGTAAATTATAAGTTCGGTAGTAGGTACATACATGTTAGGAAGTTACCTCTTATCTACTGTCTTCCACTCTCATAACAAACTATTAGCTGGTTGAAACATATACGAGATTAAAGATGAAAAAAGGAAAAGATATTGAACTTACTTTAACCCATGCAGTTTTAAGTGAATGACTAGAATGATCAAGAACTACATTCGTCTAAGCGGCCTGATGCTTACCCAAAGTCTCAAGCAAATGACAAAGAAATATGCACGAAATTCCCATAATAATGACTTTAGCAAGGATAATGACCTAACTGAAAAAGGGCGCGGAGAGAATGAATGACTTTAGCAAGGATTTCTACAATGTAAATGACATTATAACAAACCTGAAGAAGGGAACAGAGGGACCTCGATCGTGGCGGAGTCGGTGTCGTGGCGCGGCGACGGTGTCATGGCGGAGTTAGGGCTCACGCAGGAGGAAAGGGGGCGGAGAGAGGTCGGGATCGCGCCGGAGGATTTGGGGTTGGAGTTTGGGGCTCACGCCGGAGGAAGGGGGCAGAGAGAGGTCGGGATCACGCCGGAGGATTTGGGGTTGGGGTTTGGGGCTCGTGCCGGAGGAAGGGGGCGGAGAGAGGTCGGGATCGCGCCGGAGGATTTGGGGTTGGGGTTTGGGGCTCGCGCCGGATACATATTAAGGTTGGGTCCGCCAGGGGATCACAAAGGTTGGGTCTCCTCATCTGATCGGCGAGGGCTGAGATTTGGCGGGATAAAGAGGTCTGATTGAATAATGGGAGAGGGGTATGCCGAACGAAACAGTATTTTTCAAATAACATGCATGCACAAACTCTGCACGGGACTGACAGGTACCTTACAGTTCTCTCTCTCTCTCTCCTCTCTCTCTCTCTCTCTCTATGTCATTGTATGTATAGTTTATATTATAATATATATAGTACCTATATACTAAGCCTCTCATACATATATTATATACTATATATATATATAATATATATACTATAATATGATATATATATATATTAGAGAGAGAGAGTAGAGAGAGAGAGAGAGAAACTTAATGGGTTCCTTGTTCATACGAGGAGATCCTTCTCCTTGAGCGCCCTCTAAAGAATCACATTGAATCTTGAGCGACTATTGTGGTGATAGATCGCTCCGCTTGAACTTGACTCTACATATGTCTAAAAACCCCAACACACTTAAGTTTGGGGTGAAACGCCGTCGTTCGTTTGACCCTTCATCCATCTTCGTATCAATTATTAACGGTTTTGTGCAATGAATAGAACTTTTCACATGGCCTCGATGGAGGGATCAAACGACGACGGATTCACCCCAAACTTGGTGTGTTGGTGGTGTTTAGAATATGTAGATCAAGTTCAACCGGAGCGGATTCATGCCATATGTCGCCTCAATCATGGATTTTAGAGCTCAAGAGGCCGAAATCGCCCCTCCTATGACAAGCGACACCATTAATCTCATATTTATATATACTATAGTATAATATACCTATATATATATATTTATATATGATATACTATATATATCATATTATATATACTAGTTAATTCAAGGAAAACTTTATCTAAAGAGCTCTCTCTTATTTTAACAAGAATGAAAAACATTTTAAAAAAACAGAAAAGAAAAAGAAAAGCGAGAGCGGGAAAGCAGCGACCCACAAAAATATCGTTATCCTCATCCTCTTCCAAAATCCTTCCACCGCTTCCTTCTCCACTCCCCAAAACTCCACAGCATGATTACTCTCCCTCACAACTCCAAACTCACCACCCAAACTCCAAACTCAACGACTGTCTCCCGCCAGAAAAACCCACAACCATTACTCCTACTTCCTCTCTCTCCTCTCTCAACCCCTCACCCTCGCCCAACTCAAATCCATCCACGCACAAATCTTAAAGCACAACCTCCACCACAATGTCAACATCACCCTCCGGCTCCACTCCCTCTACCCCTCCTCCTCCCCCCTCCTCTCCTCTCTCCTCCACAACACGGATGATCTCCTCACGTTCAACCTCCTCATCAAATCCTTCTCCT